CGCCGGCCCAGGCATTTTACACGTTTTTGCCCGTGACTTCTCACGGCAGTTTGGCGACGGACGCGTCGTCTCCATTATATTAATGAGAAACAGATTATGCAACAACCTAGGTGATGCGGGGCTTTAAACCGGGGCCTCTGGTTCTGAAGCCCTGTGCTTGCCACCACACCCACAATTCCGCCCTTAGGTGCTGCCCAGTGGACTGTATGTGCCAAAATAACTAGAAGAGAGGGTTTTAAATGTTCTTACCACCAAGAGACAATACGTTTGAGGTCAAGGACACGTTAAATACTCAGACTTGATCACTATGCAATGTATATGTGCATCCATGCTGCACACTGCGCCCCATCAGTAGGAATGATTACTGTGTGTCGATTAAGAATAAAAAAATGTTGTAAAGGGGCGGTAGGTTTGCCTCTAAACACCATCAGTCAGTTTCACGGTGTTGGTAAGATCAGCTCAGGATTGAGACCTAAGGGAAATTGCCCCTGTGGCTCTTCTCTAAGAGGGGGACACAGTAAATACACCATGACAATAGTCTGAACAACCCTCCGTGTTATGCAAAACGGGGCTGTCATTTTCAACCCCGGGACACATCTGTGACAAGCTTATTAAAAATCCAGATGTCCAACCCCACCCCAGACCTATTAAGTCATAATCTCTCAGTCATTACAATGGCAAGTTTCCTTCCACCACTCCAGGCCAGCAGTGACGTAATTCAAAAGCGCAAGTCATTGAAAGCAGTTCTGCGAATATGTAGCTTTTGATGATCAGGAGTAAATTTAGAGTACCCAGAGTATTGCATGTTCTGTCTGCCCATCGTCAGGCTTCTGATAAGAATTTCACAGCAGAAAACTCTGAGGTTGTAGTCTCTAGTAGGACAGATGTGTCGCCAGTGAAGGGTGATCTGCTCTTACCACCATCTAAACTGAGGTACAACAATGTTCTCAAATGAAGATCAGGGAGCCAGTCAGGAAATGTACTTGAGGTATGCTGAGGAAGACCCTGCAGGTAGGGCTGAATTGTTGGACTGAAAAGCTCTAGGTTTCTTTCAGCACACAAGTGTAACTCTGGGAATGGCTTTCAACCTATTGTTTTGTTTTCATACTAAATTTTAACTGAATCCTTTTTTTCCCTATTGTTTTTGTGTTTTTTTTGTTGTTTTTGAGACAGAGTCTCACTCCATCACCCAGGCTGGAGTGCAATGGCGCCATCTCAGCTCACTGTAACCTCCACCTCCCGGGTACAAGCAGTTCTCCTGCCTCAACCTCCCTAGTAGCTGGGATTACAGGCACCTGCCACCGCACCCTGCTAATTTTGTTTTGTATTTTTAGTAGAGACAGGTTTCACCACGATGGCCAGCCTGGTATCGAACTCCTGACCCTCGGGTGATCTACCCATTTCGGCCTCTCAAAGTGCTGGGATTCCAGGTGTGAGCCACCGTGCCCAACCTAAATCCTTTATTTAATCATAACTTAGAATGAACTATTTCTTAATAGTTTCTGTTGTTCCTTTCTGTGGACTTGCTGTTAGGAGCTCTAGCTGTTTAAAAACCCTGGTAAACATCTGTTGAACATAAAGATACCATTTACTTTTCAGGACTGCTTAGTATACAGTAGGTTTGTTTCAATTATGTTGGGTTTTTTGTTTTGTTTTGTTTGAGACAGTCTCACTCTGTCGCCCAGGCTGGAGTGCAGTGGCGCGATCTTGGATGACTGCAACCTCTGCCTCCCAGGTTCAAGCGAGTCTCCTGCCTCAGCCTGCCTAGTAGCTGAGATTACAGGTGCATACCACGACGCCCAGCTAATTTTTGTATTTTCAGTAGAGATGGGATTTCACCATGTTGGCCAGGCTGGTCTTAAACTCCTGACCACAAATGATCCACCCGCGTCAGCCTCCCAAAGGGCTGGGATTACAGGTGTGAGCCGCTACGCCCAGCCAGGGAAAACTTTTTTTTTAGCAGGAATTACATCTCATCAGATCCATCACTTTTTTTCTTGACAAACAGACTGACTTTCCTGTCTTGTGCTGGCTTTCTAACCACAGTGCCCAGTGGCCCCTGAGCAGCTGCTGTCTTGGTGTCTTCCTTTAATGAAGGTGGTCTGTGTGACACAATAGCCATCTATATGATGGTGCCCAGTATGGTGATCCGTACCCTCAGTCTGGTTACTACATAGAAAGCTCTTGAGGGTCTTGCTCTGTTACCCAGGGTGCTGTCAGACTCTTGAGCTCAAGTGATCCTCCTGCTTTAGCCTCCCCAGTAGCTGAGACTATAGGCTCTGCCACCATACTCTGCCTCAAACATTGTTTTTTGTTGTTGTTGTTTGAGACAGTCTCACTCTGTCACCCAGCCTGGAGTGCAGTGGCATGATCTTGGCGCACTGCAACTTCTGCCTCTCAGGTTCAAGCAATTCTCTTGCCTCAGCCTCCTGAGTAGTTGGGACTACAGGCATGCTCCACCACGCCCGACTGATTTTTGTTTTATTAGTAGAGACAGGGTTTCGCCATGTTGCTCAGGCTGGTCTTGAACTTCTGACCTCAAGTGACCCGCCTGCTTCAGCCTCCCAAAGTACTGGAATTACAGGAGTGAGCCGCTGCGCCAGGCCTCAAACATTATTGTTGATACCTGTTTTCAAAGTACTGGAAGGAGGGAGAGGTAAGGACAAGGAACCGGGAGGAAGCCTGGCTGGGAAGCTATCTTAGGTATTAAGAGCTGTGTTGACCAGAGACTCCACCTACATTCTGCCCTGAGTATCTCATTGGCAGGTTTTCTAATACGCAGTGGAAATTTTCAGTCTTGGTTACAGCTGCTTGCATAATTTCTTTCATTGTTTATATATTTTCTAGATTATATTTTCTTCCTCTCCCCACTAGTTGCTGTATGGTTCTTATTTTATTCTAATCTTTCTTCCCAAAACACCCCACCCGCAACCAAATCTTCCCTTCTTAACATAAATGATGAGCAAGCCCTACAGAACGAGGATGGGTGAGAATGAGGAATTGGATTGCAAGCTGTAGAGTATGTGCCGCCTTCTGGTTTGATGTGGGTGCCTAAGGTATATGGCCATATTCCATGTCTGTAAGGAAATCCAGAAATCTAGCCCAGCCTTGTGTACGGTGGGATTCATGGAGAAATGAAAGCTATGAGGATTCAGGGGCAGGAAGAATAGAAGTAAATGCACATTTTTTTACTACTAGAAATTCTTTTGTTCCTTGCGTATGAAAGCAGTGAGGGGACAGGCGGGCACTTAACCTCTTATCAAGCAACATTTCTATTTGTAAAACATGGCTTAGAGGATTTTGTGTTATTTTTAGTTCAGAGGTTTGCTTTTAATGATTTGCCAGAAATTTTTTAAGGAAAGGAAAGGTTCCAAGTTGCTCTATAGACTATATTGTGCAAAGATTTCTAATTTTAAATTTAGAATAAGATGACAAAGCAAACCGTTTCCTTCTTGGATGCTTTCTCGGAAGGCAGTCAGGTGGTGCTAAAGTAGCTAGAAAGACAGTTTTTCCTAGTTTTTGCTATAGTTCTTACAATCCTTTCTTTTCACCCTCTACTCTTCAACTGTGTGTTCCTTTTCCTCTTGTGTGTTTTCTTTCTGTCTTGTTACTGGGTTGTTTCCTCTCACAGGTTCTTTATTCAGTTATGCGCACAAAAGATACAGTACAAAAAGTCTAGTGCATTTTAGTCTTGAAAGTATATAGAACTTCAGAATAAAAACACCACTTTCTCACTGAACTTCCATTTTATCATGCCATTGCCATTTCTCATCTCAGCCATCCTACCCTTGAGCTTATTCTCTGAGGACAGAAATGGGAAGAAGGCTCCAAAAGCAGCAGGTGGGGCTGGGAGGAGGCTGCTGTGCTGGCGAGTGGTGGGGTGTTGGCTCTCGGAAAGCAGGAGCATGGGCAGTGTCAGCTTGTTGCCATGACAGTGAGGTTATTAACATCCACTTTGACTGTCTTTAGTGGTCTCTTCCCCAGGCATGATAGTTTTGGCTTAGACGGCCACCTGAAGAGATTCAGTATAATGCTACCAGTCTTTATTGAACATTTATTCTGTTCAAAACATTCCCAAAGGCAACAGAAGATACAGATAAATCCCTGCCCATGAAAAGGTGTGGGGCATTAGAACGCATTCTCTTAGGTGTCATGAAGTAATGAGAGAAGACAAGAGTAGTTTGAAGCTCCGGAGTAAGGGACTTCGAGTATCCCAGGCTCAAGAAGTTGGGACTTGAACAGTACAGGGGTGCTGCTGAAAACGTTTGAGGGAGGTAATGACATGATCGAAGCTATACTTGAGAAAGGTGAATCTGATAAAGTATGAGTGAAAAAGAGACTGAAGGTCTAGAAATTAGGTTAAGAGGCTAATGACAAAATCCACATAAATAGGAGGACTTGAATGAAGGGGCACTGACAAAGAAGAGGACAGGAGATAGTAAAAGGCATTCAACGATGGAGCACACACTACGGGGGAGCATGAGGGAGGTTGGAAGGGATAATGAAAGGATTACCGAGCATCACTGACAATGTCTTCAAAATGAGCAGGAATCTTGTAGTGATCCTAATCTGTGGTTTTATGGAGCATTTCACAGCCTAGGAACATACAAGGGGGATATCTCCCTGGAATGTAAATTGACTAAGAGGAGTTCAGTAACGGTCAAATGAACGCAGGATTTTAGAGTCTTGCTTAGTATTCTCACCACATTTCATTTAATCTACTCATAGTCTTTTTCTCTTACCGCTAACACTAGATGGAAAAACTATAAGTTAATTAAAAGTATTTCACAAAATGTGCTTGTTTTCAGTCATTCTGTTTCCACTCCAGCCTGTTGTGTTGGTTTTTTGAAATAATTATTTAAAGTAATTTTCATTTTGCAGGATGGCATAGTCAATCCAACAATAAGAAAAGATTTGAAAACTGTACCGAAATTCTACTGTTGTCCAATCGAAGGCTGCCCCAGAGGCCCTGACAGACCATTTTCTCAGTTTTCTCTCGTAAAACAGGTACTATATACTTCTCTGAGGATGAGATACAGATGCTATAAACCTATTGTGCATTCTGATTACTTAGGAGACATAACTACAGAATCGAGTAGACAGCTGCTTGTGAGAGGAGATGCCTGCGTGTCTCCCAGTTGGTATAAACCTGAGTATGCTGTCACACAAGTGGAAGGAAAAGCGGCTTGGTCTGGAGGGAATATGTCTAGAAGTGAGTTAAAATAGAGAGAGAGAATAAACCAGTTCAGCAAAGAATGAGAACATGTTTGCCCGCAGATTTCCTCTGTGAGTCTGCATACCTCCGAGGGCCGAGAGCAAAGGCACAAAGGAACTCTTCGTTCCAGGGGAATAAGAACCTGCAGAATCCAGGAAAAGAATCGTTTTGGAAGCCGCAATCTTAAGAGGAGGGAGGGCCCCAGTGACTGGGACAAGAGGTGATTCAGAACTGGAAGAGATTGGCATCTGAAATGTTCCCCCGAGGGTCTGCTGGTGGGTGTCCGAGAAGAGCATTGGAAAGACATGTTTTTCCTGCCCACAGCACTGACAGATCAGAGTGTAAATGCTGGGGACCATAGTTGTTTCCAGAACAATCCCCTCACTTTTCACAAAGCAAAGCAACAGGAAGAGGCATATATATAATTTTAACTGCAATGTGCCTGCTTTTACATTCTTTTGACTTGGACCGCTGTATTTTATGTGTTATTTATATTAACAGTGTAAAATCAGTATTTGGGTGGATGAGGGTTTCTGAAATGTTTTGACCAGTTGTTGTTTTTCATCTTAATCCCTCTGTGTTCTTCTAGCACTTTATGAAAATACATGCTGAGAAGAAGCACAAATGTAGTAAGTGCAGCAATTCATATGGTACAGAATGGGACCTGAAAAGACACACAGAGGACTGTGGCAAGACCTTTCGGTGCACATGCGGCTGTCCCTACGCCAGTAGAACGGCATTGCAGTCTCACATCTACCGAACGGGCCACGAGATCCCTGCAGAACACAGGTGAAGGGAAAGAAATGATGGCACAAAAGTTAGTAACTACGCGAAGCATTTCAGATGAAACATCCTGGAGAGCCAGTGGTGTGGGAGGAAAAAAGGAATCCTAGAAAATGTGTGACGTCAAAGAAGGAAGCTTTTGAAAATGGAAGCAGGTCTTGCAAATGACCCATGTCTGGGCCTGAAATTTTGACTCAGTTTTTTCCCGTTTTTTCTGCTAACCCTCTTTGAGGGTCCGTTGTTATTTCCATTTGAAAATCTCAGCTTCTAGAATTTTCTATTAGAGGGAACCAACGAATAAATTTTATCATGAAACTACTTCATTTAAAGGTCAAATTTTCATTTAGTGTGATAGCTTCCTACCTTAGAAATGATAAAACTTGCATTATGTAAGTCTTTTAGCTTCTTTTGGCTTAAAGATCTGAGTTGAGTTCTAGTACGTAGATCTTAACAAAAAAAAAAAAGGTATGCTTCCCTTTTTTTCTGTTTGCATGTTTCTGAACGTTCACCTGCCATAATAGGACCAACTCCCAGAGTTGCGAAAGAAGGGATTTATCTTGTCTGGGTTGAATATGACCTCTGCTATAGAGGGAGGAAGTGACATTTGTCAGTGAGGATAGAGTGTCATGGTCAAAGAAAGTTGTATTTTAAGGTTTTCTTTTTGCTCTGTCATTGTTTTCAGGGACCCACCTAGTAAGAAAAGGAAAATGGAAAACTGTGTGCAAAACCAGAAGTTATCCAACAAGACCATTGAATCATTGAACAACCAACCAATCCCTAGACCAGACACTCAAGAACTAGAAGCTTCAGAAATAAAACTAGAACCATCTTTTGAAGACTCTTGTGGCTCTAACACTGACAAGCAGAGTCTTACAACACCACCGAGATATCCTCAGAAGTTGCTTTTACCAAAGCCCAAAGTGGCTTTGGTTAAACTACCCGTGATGCAGTTTTCTCTCATGCCTGTCTTTGTGCCTACAGCCGACTCCTCAGCCCAGCCTGCGGCGTTAGGTGTTGATCAGGGCTCTGCCACAGGAGCTGTGCACTTACTACCCTTGTCAGTAGGAACCCTGATCCTCGGCCTAGATTCAGAGGCTTGCTCTCTTAAGGAGAGCCTACCTCTTTTCAAAATTGCTAATCCTGTTGCTGTTGAGCCAATAAGTACTGGTGTTCAAGTGAACTTGGGTAAAAGTCCATCTAATCCTTTACAAGAACTGGGGAACACATGTCAAAAGAACAGCATTTCTTCAATCAACGTGCAGACAGATCTCTCTTACGCCTCACAAAACTTTATACCTTCTGCACAGTGGGCCACCGCTGATTCCTCTGTGTCATCTTGTTCTCAAACTGATTTGTCGTTTGATTCTCAAGTGTCTCTTCCCATTAGTGTTCACACTCAGACATTTTTGCCCAGCTCTAAGGTAACTTCATCTATAGCTGCTCAGACTGATGCATTTATGGACACCTGTTTCCAGTCAGGTGGGGTCTCCAGAGAAACTCAAACCAGTGGGATACAAAGTCCAACAGATGACCATGTACAGATGGACCAAGCTAGAATGTGCGGAGACATTTTTGAGAGTGTTCATTCATCATATAATGTTGCTCCAGGTAACATTATAAGTAACAATTTAGTAGCAGAGACAGTAACTCATAGTTTGTTACCTCAGAATGAGCCTAAGACTTTAAATCAAGATATTGAGAAATCTGCACCAATTATAAACTTCAGTGCACAGAATAGTATGCTTCCTTCACAGAACATGACAGATAATCAGACCCAAACCATAGATTTATTAAGTGATTTGGAAAACATCTTGTCAAGTAATCTACCTGCTCAGACATTGGATCATCGTAGTCTTTTGTCTGACACAAATCCTGGACCTGACACCCAGCTCCCATCTGGCCCAGCCCAGAACCCTGGAATCGATTTTGATATTGAAGAGTTCTTTTCGGCCTCAAATATCCAGACTCAAACTGAAGAGAGTGAACTTAGCACCATGAACACGGAGCCAGTTTTGGAGTCACTGGACATAGAGACTCAAACGGACTTCTTACTCGCAGATACCTCTGCTCAGTCCTACGGATGTAGGGGAAATTCTAACTTCTTAGGCCTTGAGATGTTTGACACACAGACACAGACAGACTTAAACTTTTTCTTAGACAGTAGCCCTCATCTGCCTCTAGGAAGTATTCTGAAACACTCCAGCTTTTCCATGAGTACCGATTCATCTGACACAGAGACCCAAACTGAAGGAATTTCTACTGCTAAAAATATACCTGCTCTAGAAAGCAAAGTTCAGTTGAATAGTACAGAAACACAGACCATGAGTTCTGGGTTTGAAACCCTGGGGAGCTTGTTCTTCACCAGCAATGAAACTCAAACAGCAATGGACGACTTTCTTCTGGCCGATCTGGCCTGGAACACAATGGAGTCTCAGTTCAGCTCTGTAGAAACCCAGACTTCTGCGGAACCACACACAGTCTCCGACTTCTAAAACTAACAGTGGAGTCCGTGTGTGAAACAGCATCTACCATTTCCTCTGGAGTAAAACTATGGACTGGGGACAACAGTATTAATTCGATTGAATGTAGTTGATGATGCAGTTGCTTAGCTTCTTTGCGATTCTTTGCCTTTTGAACTTGTAAAGAGAAATTTGTGTATAAATGTGAGTATATTATAAAGTTTGAAATGTTGATCTAAATTGTTTTTGTGTTGCCTACATTTGCCTTTTCACAGCTAGTCTTTTCATGTTAAAAAAAAATGTATTTCATACCTTTAAAACCTATAGCCATTTAGCTGAAGCCCAGCTTACCAGGTTCAAGGGTACAAACTTCTCAGATCTTCAAAACATTTTAGTCAAAGTGCAATATACTTAAATTGCACCTAAAATATCTTTGGCATGCTTGTTAGAAATTCCTGATTCCTGTCACTAATCACTAAAGAAATGGGATGCTGCCACCGTAGGATTTAAGCAGTGGTGCTTCTGTACTCTTAGACTTCTGCTGCCTGCACCTTCGTCAGCTTTGACGCCTCTTTTCTGATTTAAAGACACCAAGGAAAACTATAACTCTCTTTAGCTTTGAAGCAGTTTTCATGTAATCAATGCCACCTCTTCCCTACATGAACTATTGATACCAGCATACAAGTGTATAGCACTTTACACACAAGAGGTTTATTGATGTAAAATTATCAGCTAGGGAAACAGCAGCGGACCAGGTGTGGTGGCTTACCCCTGTAATCCCAGCACTTTGACAGGCCAAAGCAGAAGGATCACTTGAGCCCAGGAGTTCAACACCAGCTTGGGCAACATAGGGAGACTGTGTCTCTGGAAATTTTTTTTTTTTTTTTTAATTCGCCAGGCATAATGGCATGCGCCTGTGATCCCAGCTACTTGGGAGGCTGAGGTGAGAGGATCACTTGAGGAGGCTGGGGCTGCCATGAGCCATGATCATGGCACTGTACTCCAACCTGGGTAACAGGGCAAGACCCTGTCTCAAAATTTAACAAACAAAACCCAGCAGCAAGCACCTAGTGTAGTGTTCCTGCTAAATAAGGGTAGGTTATCCAAACCATGAGAACAGGGAGTTACGGAAACAGGCCTATGACCTTATCTTGGGGTGTGCCCTGTGAAGATCCTTTCTGCTCTCCACAGTAGGCCAGAGTTGGGGGCTCTGGAGCTGTTTCCCAAAGTGCACCCACAGGCTGGATCTGAGTTTTGTCACTCAAAAGCAAGAAGAAAAGTGGGAAAGGGGCATCCCCCATTAGGTTTCAATAGTTTGCACTTCTACTAAGCTTGATAGGACAGGAGTGCAATCTACAATTATTTTAAAGGGAATTTCCTTCCATCCACCATTCTTTATCTTTTTCTTGAATAAGAAAAGATACCTAGCAAGGATATTACTTGTGCCTTGAGGCTAGCAATTACAGGATAGATTCATCTAAAATACAGTATTCTGCATTTTTTTAAGAGAATAATAACCAAACAGTCTTCAAAGAAAACAAAGAAGGTGAAGACCTGTTGCTTCAATAATCAAGAATGCTTTCTGTGTTTTGAGGTGGGAGCATGATCAAGTATACTTTGGGGATTTTCTGTATTTAGGAGATCTTGGATTCTTAATTGTTGGCTAAGTTCCAGCCAAATAGGAATCAGTGCAGCCTGTAAGTTCGCCACATTCACTCACACACACACACAGACACAAATGCTCCTTTCTGTGGTACATGCTTGTGTTACTGAAAGGTAAATCCTCAAAACCTAGTAAGGGGACTAATGATTCATTAAAGTAAATTGATGGTTTTGCTACTAATTCCTATCCCATACATTTGATACAAAAGAAGTGTTGGTAATGGATAAATAACATACCCTGGGCAGATGAACTCAACCTGGTAGGTGAGAGTTTGCTTTGGTCACAGTTGCCTATGAGTGTGGGTTTCAAAACAAACATAAAGCCTTAACTTAGAATTTCATTATGTTTTAGAATCATCACTGCCTTAATATTCAAGCTTCTATTTAAGTCCTCCTAATAAAGGGGAAATGCATGTTTATGGCTGTTTTGTAAATATAAATGGAGTGATCTATGGCTTAAAAAATTTTTTGTTTCTGTGACGTTTGTAAATCTAGCCAATAGAGTTATTTCCAGAAAAAATTGAGCATGTAATAATACAAGAACTGTTTCCCCTCAAAACCTGAACTTGAATTATTTGTAAAAACTGAAATTTAGTGATTAAAGAGAAGCCAGAATTGTACCTTTTTTGTGAATTCTTGAACCTACTCATAAATATGACTTATTTTATTGCCTTAAGTTTTCACACTCATTGTCTTCTGAAAGCCATATGATAAAATGATTTTATTTCATCATACCCAGTTATTTTCATTATTGTTTTTCTTTTGTTCATGAAAATATGCTAACAATTTTCCTAGAAAAGACATTCCAGGTAATACCAGCCGGATGGCTGACTATAGGTCCCTAATGCTTGTTGCATCCATAGAAAAGGACCAAAAGAATGAATAAAATACATTTTGACTACAGTATCTAAAAGAAAATGAGGCCTGGCACGATGGCTTATGCCTGTAATCCCAGCGCTTTAGGAGGCTGAGGTGGATGGATCACCTGAGAACAGGAGATCGAGACCGGCCTGGCCAACATGGTGAAACCCCATCTCTACTAAAAATACAATAATTAGCCAGGCGTGGTGGTATGCGCCTGTAATCCCAGCTACTCGGGAGGCTGAGGGAGGAGAATCACTTGAACCTGGGAGGCAGAGGCTGCAGTGAGCCAAGACTGCACCACTGTACTCCATCCTGGGTGGCAAAGTGAGACTGTCTCACAAAAAAAAAAAATGCTGGAGAAGGCCAGGCACGGTGGCTCACGCCCGTAATCCCAACACTTTGGGAGGCTGAGGTGGGCCGATCATGAGGTCAGGAGATCAAGACCATCCTGGCTAACACAGTGAAACCCCGTCTCTACTAAAAATTAAAAAAAATTAGCTGAGCGGGGTGGCAGGCACCTGTAGTCCCAGCTACTCAGGAGGCTGAGGCAGGAGAATGACGTGAACCTGGGAGGTGGAGCTTGCAGTGAGCCAAGATCATGCTACTGGACTCCAGTCTGGGCAACAGAGCGAGACTTCATCAAAAAAAAAGAAAAGAAAATGCTGGAGTATGTCAGGGGAGTGGTGGAGAACCTGTGGTACACAGAGACTCAGGATGGCCACAGAGAGAAGGAAGTGAAACACCCTGCTCTGCCACCCCATCTCCCCAGTCAGGATCAGCTCAGAACCAAGATGGATTTCTGTCTGGGGGAAAGAAAGGCAGAAGGTCGCCAACAGGTCCCATTACCACCACAGACACCTGTAGTCTTTTCTGCTGGGGAATCCTGCAGTTCTCTCAGGCCCTGAGCCCAGTTTAGAGAGCTGCCTCAAATTTACATGGCCGTGTTACTGCAGAGAAGAAGCCCACATTGTGACCCAAGCTGCTACAGCATGGCATCATTTTCAAACTGGACCCACTGCTCTAGGGGACAGTAACCACTGCATCTCTCCATCCCTGAGGCTCTGCTGTCACTGTACCATCTCACACACAGTAGTGCAGCATCCCCCAGCTGAGGTGCTACAGCTCCCTACTCCTTGGGAACAAGCTGCCCAAGAGGTGCTCCATCTTACCCATCCTAGAGGTAGCACAGTCCTGAACTCAACTACTCAGAACCTAGGCCTAGCAGAACAGCCATGACCCTAGCACCCAAGCCCATGCAGTGCCCTGCCTCCAAAGGAACAGGAAGTCTTGCTCAGCGAGGAAGCCAAGCTCAAGCCAGTGGACCAGCCCAGCATCCCTCAGCATGCAAAAAGCCTGATACTCCATCCACAAAGGAGCCATACTCAACCCAGTATGCCAGCCACACAGTCTCCTGCAGCCTAGGCCATTGAGGCACTTGCAGGCATTGCTGACATTGATTACAGCTGAAGAATGTGCATGAAGACCACACTACTACTGTACCCATGCAGAACCAAAGCCAATGTGCCTTACTCAACTGATACTTAGGCCCCATCTGCATGTTAAAGCCTTTCCCTAAGAAAGCCACGCTATAGAACTGGAAAAGGCAGCTGATCCATCAGCTGCAAAGGAATCAACATAGGAACACAAGAAGCATGAAAAAGCAAACAAATATGACACCAACAAAGAAACACAATAATTCTCCAATAACTAACCCCAAAGTCAGAGAGAAATGTATGAATTTCTTGAAAAGGAATTCAAAATAATGATCTTGAGGAAGCTCAACAAGACATAAAGAGAATACAGATAAGCAAAATAATTCTTGATCTGAGTGAGAAATTCAAGAGAGATAGATATATTTAAAAAAGAACTAAACAGAAATCCTGGAACTGAAGAATTCAACGAATGAAATAAAAAATACAATTGAGAGCTTCAAGAGCAGCCTAGATCAAGCAGGAAAAAAAAAAGGAATTTCTTCCTTTTTTTTTTTTTTTTTTTTTTTTTTTTTTGAGACGGAGTCTCCCTCTGTCACCAAGGCTGCAGTGCAGTGGTGCCATCTCAGTGCACTGCAACTTCCACCTCCTGGGTTGAAGCGGTTCTCATGCCTCAGCCTCCTTAATATCTTGGATTACAGGTGTTTACCACCACACCTGGCTAACTTTTGTATTTTTAGTAGAGAGGAGGTTTCATCATGTTGGCTAGTCTGTTCCTGAACTCCTGACCTCTGGTGATCTACCTGCCTCAGCCTCCCAAAGTGCTGGGATTACAGGTGTGAGCCACCGCATCCAGTCAAAAAATAAAAAGAATTTGTTAACTTGAAGACAGCACTTTTGAAATAATGCATTCAAAGGAAATAAAGAGAGAATGAAAAAGAGTGAAGAAAGTTGACAGGACTTATTGGGACATCATTAACAGATACACTATGAGATTTTCAGAGGGAGATACAGAAAGGCACAGAAAGCTTATTTAATGAAATAATAGCTGAAAACTTCCCAAGTCCTAGAAGAGATATATGGACATCCAGATCCATTGGACTCAAAGAATTCCAAATAGATTCAACCCAAAGAAGTCCTCTCAGAGGCACATTGTAATCAAACTGTAAAAATTCAAAGACACCGAGTTTTAAAAGCAATAAGAGAAAAGCATCAAATCATATATAAGGGAATCTCCATTACACTATCAACAGATTTCTCAGCAGAAACTTTGAAGCCCAGGAAAGAATGGGATGATATAGTCAATGTTCTGAAAGAAAAAAAAAAAAAAAAAACTGTCACCCA